TGGATGCCCCATCCCTGGAAACATTCAAGGTCAGGTTGGACGGGGCTCTGAGCAATCTGATCTAGTTGAAGATGTCCCTGCCCACAGCAGGGGGGTTGGACTAGATGACCTTTAGAGGTCCCTTCCAACCCAAACTGTTCTATGATTCTATGATTCTATGAAATGTTATTTTTACAACTTTGTTCCAAGTGTGAAATGCATAGCCAAAACCATAACCCTGCATAAGGGAGCTGAACAGCTCTGCTGATCACAAGGAATATATAGGGACTGTGACCTACCAAGTACCATGTGGCTGAGCTCTGATGCACCATCACACTGTCAGAAAGTAAATAATAATACATGCCTGATCTTAGATGCAACAGGAGTTACAAGATAAACTTCAGTGACTCATGCTCTTGGATTGCCATTAATCTCTCCAGGAGGCACTGATGAAAAGTGTTAATAAGAACAAACTGGGAAGTAAACCCTACTAAAAAAAACCAACCCTGGAAAAGAGAAACCCTCCAGCTTTAGATTGAAAGCAAGGGGAGCTTTGCCAGGTGTGGGAGTGCAGAGAGACCTTTGAGTGCTGCACATAGCTGCAGCTGTGTCTCTGTCTTTAGTGAGTGCTTGTTTACTCTGGGAGCATGCACTCTCCACGCACACTTCTGAACTCCTGCTGATGTCAGGTGAAGCTCATCTGCCAGATACTACTGGCTCTAGGTATCCAAGAGAGCCATCAACCCCCTATTCTGACAGGCAGTAGCGAGAATTAATACAGGTGATAATTAGTCACTGGGTTTGGCTTCTTTTCACTATTAAAAGAAAGAAGAGCTCTTCTCCTATAGGAATGACATGAATGTGTGTTTGTCAGAGCCAGGCTGGATTGGAATGGCTTCCCACATTGCCAAATAGAAATTCAGAGCTGTCCTAGTGAGAGCTCTGGAGGATCCCTGTGGAAAACAGTCACAGGAATAAGGCAGGTAAAGGGTGAGAAGTGGGGCCAGGGTCCCCTTGGCTGACTGCTACCAAGTGGTGAGCAGGCGAGTCTCTGATGCCTGGGAATGTGTGGGGTTTCCTCTCTCTGAAATGAGTCTCATCAGGCTGGGACAGCAGACCAGCCAGACCTCTGAGACCTCCGGAGGAATAAAGTGGGGTCACACTTCTCTCCAGAAAGCAACGCTGTTTTTTGCAGGACCCTGGGCAGCTAAGACTTGGGAACAGCCTTGCTAAAGTCTGCTGCCAGTAAAGATTGAAAGTGGGAAACTTCCATGTTCAGACTAAAACCAACATACTTACAAACAGAGATGTGTTTGGACTTTGTCCCCTACTCTATTTGCATAGCATTTCCACTTGACATTAGCTAGTGGCCCCCCACCAATAGTAAGAGCTGGGAAGGAACATCCCAACAGCTAATTCCAGGTCCCTCCAGCAAAATACACACAGCACCCCAAGGATGGTCTGGAAATCAGAGAGACACAGTGGTGTGATAACAAGGTCACTGCAGACCAGCAGCAGCAAAAGCACACTTCCATCTGTCTAAATCTTTGAGTGTGTTTGAACATAATGGTGTACTGAGGCTAAAGGAGTGGAAATGTGGGATGACGTGCTTAAACGCACAACCTCTGTTTGCCCTTGTGAAGATTATGAGCCATACCTAACAGGGCACTGCCACAGGATCAGGTAAATTGCCTTTTATTGAAACATACTGTAATATGAAGGGGGGGGACTAGTGGGAAGATTCCAATTTAACACAAGTACATTGCATTTCAGGCTCCCAAATAACTATTGATATCTGCTGTCCTGGAGCAAATCATATCTTCCTTGACAAGTCAGACAGCTGCTCTTTCTCTATCTTCCTTTTGTTATCTTTAATAGCCATGGATTGTCGTGGTACCTTGAAAAGAAATGTTTGCGACTTACTTGATGGATGTCTCACCTCCTGCTATTAGCCCTGGTTCATGGGTTCATCTAATGCCTGTTCTTGCCTACAAAACTCAGACCAAGTGCTTTTGAAATGAGAGTGTGCTGGGTGCCGCTGCACAGTGGATGCAGTGCACACTGTGTACAGCTCCCCTTCCCCTCCAGCTGGCAGCCAGTGGGGTGAACAAGCTCTCTTGATCATCCTGAAATACAGTTAAGGTAGAAGCAACCTCTGGGGCTCCTCTGGTCCAGGCTCCTGCTCAGAGCAGGGCCAACTTTCAAGTCCGATAAGATTGCTCAGGGTCTTCCCCAGCTGAGGCCTGAATATCTCCAGGGAAGTAGATCCCACAGCTTCTCGGGGCAAATGTTCCCATGTTTGGTCACAGTCATTGTGGAGAATTTTTTTCCATTTGTTTAAGATACTGGAATGTTGGTATCTTAAATACAGGAATACTAACAATTGTAAGATAGGTCTAAAGAAAACCATGGCTATATTTGACCAATCTCACCCAGACTGTGAATTGAAAAGACAAAGCAAATCTCTTTCAGGCTATCAACTGTCCTAAGGTGTGTCAAAGGAAATAAAGACAAATGCGGTAGAAATGGCTGGGGGTTGTGATAGTGCAGCTGTTCCCTCGCTTTCCTCTGTCAGACTTTGCTGCCCCCAAATCTCAGTGAACACCACGGGCTGTGTAAGGTCTCCCCAGGCTGCTCCAGGTCAGCCCTAAAATGTGTCAGGTCAGCTCTAAAAACCTTAAACAACAAACCGAAGTGTGTGTGGGTGTTAAGCTAAGTTACGTGTCTGTGATGCAAAGGAGGAGTGCTTATATTGTCCATTCAGCCAGCACAGCTGTAGGGACACAGCCTTCTGCATACAGGCACTACAAAGAGCTGGACAAGTTAACAATTTGAACAGCCACGATCCTTTCTGCAGTCTTTCTGTGGCACTTACCCACTTGTCCTGACACTGAGAGAAACAAATGCAGCTGGAGACCTGTACCTGTTCAAACTGACGGGTCTCTGTCCAAAATCATCAAAGGTCACCTAATAACAACTGCCAACTGCTATCATGCATTTAGGAGCAACCTTTAAACTAGAACATTTAAAAATCTGCTTCTAGGGAACATCCTTATGTTGATGGGTATCATAGAAGTCATACGTAATCCAGTATTAGCTACCCAGGTGCCTCTGCTTTTTGTGTCTCTATTTGCCTGATTAATCCGTGATTAAGAACTAGTGCTAGCTGCACATCTGTCCTGATTTTTGGCTGGGATAGAGTTAATTTTCTTCCTAGTAGCTGGTACAGTGCTGTGTTTTGGATTTAGGATGAGAATAATGTGATAACACACTGATGTTTTAGTTGTTGCTAGGTAATGCTTACACTAGCCAAGGACTTTTCAGCTTCTCATGCCCTGCCAGCGAGAAGCTGGGAGGGGGCACAGCCAGGACAGCTGACCCAAACTGGCCAAAGGGGTATTCCATACCATGTGACATCATGCTCAGTATATAAACTCAGGGGAGTTGGCTGGGGGCGCTGCTGCTCGGGAACTGGCTGGGCATAGGTCGGTGGGTGGTGAGCAATTGCATTGCGCATCACTTATTTTGTATATTCTGTTATTGTTATCATTATTATTTTTTCCCTTCTTTTTCTGTCCTATTAAACTTTCTTTATCTCAATCGATGAATTGTGTGTATTGTGTGCTCCTCCTAGCTCTCTTGTATTCTCCTTGTATAGCTCAGACCAAAAGAGAGGGCTTTTTTTTAATCTCACATTTGTAGCTATCAGCTAAAAAGAATACTAACTGAAAGAGAAATTTAGATCCTCCACCGTGAAATGAACAGGCATGCTTTGTGATTTGAACAGGTCCGCAGTGGTACCCTTCCCGTGTTGGCCTGCAACTAGAACGCAGTAAGTATTCATATGGTTGAATATAGCCACCTAATGTATTACTAATCCTCTGGCAAGTTCTCCTCCTAACAGTATTGTTCTCTCTATACATGTTATTGGGTGAACTGTTAGCACTTTTTCATTAATTGATATCGATGATTAACTTATTAGCTTTTTCATTAATAAAGGAATCTAATGGTTTTCATAACCACTGAGTAAAAATGTTTCAGAATACAGTATATGATCAAATAATGAAGACAAGGCAGTTTTAAAACCAGTCACTCACTTCCCTCACTCACTGCATTATCCATTTTAATACTTGCTCAGAGCCTCATCAGAAGATGCAGGAGGCAACTGGCTGCAGGAGGCAGCCTCTTTTTTTGTGCCAGTACACCAGTTCTTGGTGTACACAGCAGTGGGAGATGAAGCTGCTACGGGCTGTGTGGCATTTGGTCTGTGGACATGTAGCATTGCAGAGCCCTAGAAAATGAGGGCTCAGCACCTGATGGAATTTAGCACCCTCACTGAGTTAAACAGTCAACAAACATATATTGAAAGGGAGACACAATACACAAAGTGGAAAAGAGAAAAGAAGCGTTGCAGCCATGGCAACACCCCATGCCAGTGGCTGGGGGGGGGGGTCCATAATTCACCACCGCCATCTCCAAAAAAAAAA